TTTTAAAAAAAAAAAAAAAAAAAAAACAACACAGAGTATATTGTTTTTTATTTGATTGCCGCCGACCGGAAACGATGGAAATTCGTTATACGGCCGGATCGAACTTAATGGTGTTACACTGTCGCCGCGACCGTCACTATTCATCCGCGAATTCGAAAATTAACGTTCAATATTATTATGTTTTTTAAACTTATTGGAAAACTAGAATATGTACAATTTGCAAGGTTAGGTGTGTGTGTGTACCTTTTTTTGTTTTCTCTATAATTCATACACGTTTCCCGTAGATTGTACAGCGTGGAGTTATTGTACAGTAGGGATTGGGGCGCCGCTCCGGGGAGAGCCGTTTACCACTAAATAAAATGATGAAAAAAAAAAATTGAATTTTTTTTAAACTTCGAAAAATCGTAGACAATTTCGTCGTGATCGTCATGGTGAACAGTAATAAACATTGATTTTGTTTGTTAGTTATCCGCGTGACACCCTGTATTAGGAATAAAAATGATAATAGTAATATTATCGCGTACGACCGCGTATAGGTTCCTATACATAAATTATTTATTCCATTAACAACGACGTAGGCGATGCCGTTTGATGTGATGATTGTAATTATTATTGTTGTTAAAAATCCGAGGGACGAACGGTTTAGAGAATATGATATTTTGTATTTGTATTGTTTCGTAGTTGCGCACCCTAAAAAATTAAAATTCTTCGCACGGTTAACCGGCTGGTTAATAATAATATTATCGGACAATAAAAATTAACAGTAGGTTTTTTCGTTTTTTTACACACAATAATGCGTTTATAATTACAAATTATTACGATTATATTTATGGTATAATAATATATTAATATATAATAAAAAATACTTATAAAATAATAATATGGTTGTCTATAACATTATTGTACAATTAAAAACGAATTCAGTCAAGGTTTGCATACATTATTATATTTCAAAAATCCCATTAAAATAGCCGACGCGTATTAAGAAATTTTGTTTTAACGATAAACCGATTAAAGCGTGTAGGAATTCCGTTTTTTTTTTTTTTAGTCACTACTATCATATTATGTTAAAAGTTACCTGTCAATGTAAATAAAGGCTGGTTTTCCAACAATGGTCAAGTTAGTACTTTGTAACATGGATTTTAACCTTATATATTTTTTTTATTATTTATTATTTGAGATTTTGAGCGAAGTGAGGAATACATGTCCTCAGTTTTACTATGATGTGTTTTTTGTTTTTCTAATTTTTTGGGTCCATAAAAAATTTGTCTATCGGAAATCGTATTCCCATCAAAATCTTTATAGAAACTTTCTATTGTAGCGTTTTTAATTTATTTGGTGCATTGAAGAGATTTTTTTTCGATTTTCCTTGTAGATTTCTTAATGAATGATAAAAAATGAAAATCTTTAGCTTCCTTGGCAACAAGAAGGAAATAAAACTAATAATCCTCCGCTCAGAATCGTTTTTATTTAGTTTATCTCTGCATGGAGATATAAATAAAATTACTGTACACGTATCCTCCCTTCAACTTTGGTCCTAAAACGGTACGTCCATTTAAGTTAATTTTTAACTATATCGCGTGTTAAGTTATAATTTAAATTTTTTTCCTTAAATGCGTAATTCTTAAGTCTCCCAGCGCAACATTTTAAATTAATTATGCTATATAAATAAGTATCTGCACTATTTGAACATAACCTATGTTATCGTGTACTTTTTACGAAAAATGAGAACAACTAAAAACTCAAGTTAAAAATTGTTAATTAAATTTACTTATAACCAAATTCGGTTAATATACATAAAAAAAAAAAAAACCCCGAGTAATTATTACCGCGATCATTCGTTATTATTATTATTATTATTTTTTTTTTTCATTTAACTTAATTGAGTCGATATCGTGTTTATCGATATGCAATGTATTTACGAATAACGCTATGCGTAATGCACCGGACGTAGAAACCATTTACATCGATGATGTGCTTAAATAAAACACAAGCTTCATTAAAAAAAAAAGCGCATTAAACACAATGTACAGTTTCTATGTATCGATTCTATAAAATCCACTGTTTAACGTTTGCACTTATATATTTCCTGTATATAATTCAATTGACTACGTATATCTTACTACGCGTTATATATAGAAAAGCAGAGACTTTTTCTGTTTAATTAAAAGAAAAGTTTAGCGACGATCGAGATGCTTTTTTGTTCTCATTTCACATTTTAATTATAGATTTTCAATCCGATTGTTTAGTTTTTTTTGTCGTTGTTTTATTTTTTACTAATTGCTTTTTTTGTCGTTAATGGCCATATCCTTCCATATCCTTAATAAATAAAGCATCTGAATTATATCTCTGTTAGAAAACACACATACGCGCGAACCATGATATACGACTCTTTTTTTTTTTTATTTTTTATTTTTACATTAGTACTTTAGTGTTTTTTCAGTACTTGAATAAAAAAAAAAAAAAAAAAATACTAACAAATGAAAACAATATTATTCATACACATTTTGCATAATACATTGTATTATACACACGTCATTTTACCACGTTGAGTCTCCGTTAAAATTTGTCAAAACTATTTTACAGAGTTATTTTACAGAAAACGTTTTACACATGACGTTTTATTTAAAAGTATTAAAAAAATAAAACAAAATTCCGAACGCTATAATAAATTCAATATTTTTCGTATTATATATAAGGTACCGGCACTTAGGCATAATAACATTGTAGATAACGTGTTATAAGAAAAAAAAAAAAAAACACGATTGTGTTGTACTTTCGTATCGAATATATTTTATAACCAACTCGTACCTGAAATATTTACGCATTTTCTTACAAAATACATTTTTGGTCCCGGAGAGAAGGTCTCAAGTCGAATTCGTATAGTTTTTTTTTATACAAGCCAAATGTTGAAACTTGCTAAATAACTATTAAATATTCATTCTAAATATCTTGGCTCATAAAACTATACGACTTTGGC